ATATATCCTTATTAACAGGCTATGTACCACAGTCTTTTAAGGTAGCTGTAATTAAACCTCTCCTAAAAAAGCCCACCCTGGATCCAGAGGTGTTAGCCAACTATAGACCAATATCTAATCTTCCCTTTCTTTCAAAGATCCTTGAGAAAGTAGTCGCAGACCAGCTGTGTGATTTTCTCCATGATAATAATTTATTTGAGGAATTTCAGTCAGGATTTAGAGTGCATCATAGCACTGAGACAGCACTAGTTAAAATTACAAATGACCTTCTGATTGCTTCAAACAAAGGACTCGTCTCTGTACTTGTTTTATTAGATCTTAGTGCGGCGTTTGACACTATTGACCATCAAATTCTGCTACGGAGACTGGAACACTTAATTGGCCTAAAAGGTTCTGCACTAAGCTGGTTTAAATCTTATTTATCTGATCGTATTCAGTTTGTTAACGTTCATAATGAATCATACTTACATACTAAAGTTTGTTTTGGAGTTCTGCAAGGTTCTGTGCTCGGACCAATCCTATTCACTCTATATATGCTTCCTTTAGGTAACATCATTAGAAATCACTCACCAGAAGAAAGTAATCAATTAACTAAACTTCATAATTGCCTTAAAGACATAAAAACCTGGATGAGCACCAATTTCCTGATGTTAAATTCAGACAAAACTGAAGTTATTGTTCTTGGCCCCAAACAACTCAGAGACTCTTTATCTGATGACATAGTTTCTCTAGATGGCATTGCTCTGGCCTCTAGCACTACTGCAAGAAACCTCAGAGTAACATTTGATCAAGATTTGTCTATTAATTCTCATTTAAAACAAACCTCACGGACTGCATTTTTTTATCTGCGTAATATTGCAAAAATTAGGCCTATCCTGACCCGAAAAGATGCAGAAAAATTGGTCCATGCTTTTGTTACCTCATGGCTGGATTACTGTAACTCTCTATTATCAGGTAGCTCTAGTAAGTCCTTAAAAACTCTCCAGCTAATGCAGAATGCAGCAGCACGTGTACTAACAGGAACTAAGAAACAAGATCATATTTCTCCTGTTTTAGCTTCTCTGCACTGGCTCCCTGTAAAATCCAGAATTGAATTTAAAATCCTACTGTTAACTTATAAAGCTCTAAATGGTCAAGATCTGTCATATCTTAGAGAGCTCATAGTGCCATATTATCCCACCAGAACGCTGCGCTCTGAGAACGCAGGGTTACTCGTGGTCCCTAAAGTCTCCAAAAGTAGATCAGGAGCCAGAGCCTTCAGCTATCAGGCTCCTCTCCTGTGGAATCATCTTCCTGTTACAGTCCGGGAGGCAGACACCATCTCCACATTTAAGACTAGACTTAACACTTTCCTCTTTGATAGAGCTTATAGTTAGGGCTGGCTCAGGCTTGCCTTGTACCAGCCCCTAGTTAGGCTGACTTAGGCCTAGTCTGCCGGAGGACCCCCCTATAATACACTGGGCACCTTCTCTCCTTCTCTCTCTCTCTCTCTCTCTCGTATTCTATTACTGCATCTTGCTAACTCGCCCATTCTGGATGTCACTAACTCGGCTTCTTCTCCGGAGCCTTTGTGCTCCACTGTCTCTCAGGTTAACTCATATTGCAGCGGTGCCTGGACAGCGTGACGTGTGTGGTTGTGCTGCTGCCGTGGTCCTGCCAGATGCCTCCTGCTGCTGCTCTCATCATTAATCATACTTCTACTGTTATTATACACATATGATTATTGTCACATATGTATACTGTCAGATATTAATATATACTTTCAACATATTGTACCACAGTAGCCAGAACTATAATTATAATATTATTACTTTCATTAATGTTGTTGTAAGCTACTGTTATTACCGTCTGTCCTGCATCTCTCTCTCTGTCTCTCTCTCTCTCTCTGTCTCTTTTTCTGTCTCATTGTCTCATATGGATTACTGTTAATTTATTATGCTGATCTGTTCTGTACAACATCTATTGCACGTCTGTCCGTCCTGGAAGAGGGATCCCTCCTCAGTTGCTCTTCCTGAGGTTTCTACCGTTTTTTTCCCCGTTAAAGGTTTTTTTGGGGAGTTTTTCCTTATCCACTGTGAGGGTCCAAAGGACAGAGGGATGTCGTATGCTGTAAAGCCGTCTGAGGCAAATTGTGATTTGTGATATTGGGCTTTATAAATAAAATTGATTGATTGATTGATTGATTGATTGATCATGTGATCCAATGTTAATATACATTAGCATTAGTGCGTCTCTGTTTCTTTTTTTTGTTTTTTGTTTGTATTGTAAACTGTTTGTTTTTGTATTATTATTATTTATTTATTTATAGATTATTTTTCTAATTCAGTGGCTTTACACTTGTTCTTATTACAAATACTGTTTTTGTTTTGTTTTCTTCTGCTATTTATTTATTCATTTGTTTGCATGTTCGAAATAAAGATTACTAAACTAAACTAAACAAATGTATAATAGGCTTAGGATGTCTCTTTTTTAATATGTCTTACCTTCCCAACATTTTACCAGGGTATATGGTATATGACGGTACCATTTACCTCAGTATACAATAATACCTTGATACCACCCAAGCCATTATAGTATATGTGGGTTTTTAAAGGTGGGAAACCTCACTAAAAATAGGCCATAGATTCCTTTCCAACACCAGTAGATGCTTCCGTGTTTCCATCACTGCCAATCGAAGCTGATCAGAGTTTAAGCCAATAAATACCCGTGACTACTGTAGAGTCATTTGTCTTAGGAATCGATGCCAATGGTAACCTTTTGCACCAAAGACAAAAGCAAGATGTTAGTGGTTGTTAGTGGGGGTTTTGTCCAGCAGTATGTAGCTTTAGGGGAACTTCATAAACAGGAAATTTAAAAAAAAAGGGGGGTTATCCTTCTGTACAAACTGTTTGTTTGACAGATGATCTTTGGAAAGTGTGGTGCAGAAACACCACAGCAATGAGCGCCGACTGTATCAAAGATGCTCAAAGATCTTGAGGACTGCCACGTCTAAGATGCAAAATGTCCTCATTTGATTACATTATTCAGGAAGGAGGAATTTTTATGTTCCCACTTCAAGTTAAATTTATTCTTGGCATTTAAATTCCTTGAGCTGACTTACAGCAAAGGCCAACTGTCCGTTAACCTCCAACTTACAAATGTGGATAAAAATGCTCCACCCCCTCCTCCTCTTCACACACACACACACACACACACACACACACACACACATCACACATCACAACCCAAAGCAACGTGGTTGACAAAGCAAGAAGGAGTTGCCACCTCTCTCTGACTGCACCACTGAACCGGAATGTGGTCCAGTGAGGAAATCCAGACATTTCCAAATTTATCGTTGAATAAACTGGCAACGTTGAGAGCGGCTGACAGGCCATTCATCGTGGCGGGCGCTGGCCCAATGGCGTGCACGGACAGGGCTGCTGCACTTTGATTTCCTGTCCTGGCCGCCATGACAAATGAGCTATGGAGAGGGTGGAGGCTACGCAGCCTCTCACCACCACAAGGCTTCACCTCTCTGCCCACCAGTTCAACCCACACTTGTCGCCGCTTCCGGGGCCCTCAAGGGCCATGGAAGTGGGAGTGATAGAACTTTTACAACAGCACTATGGTCAAAGCTGCCAGTTTTAAAGGAGGATTTTAGTAGGATTTGAAGATTACAAGTACGGATTAAAAAAATACTACATGCTTCATTCTTAAAATTCAGCTCAGAGCTGGAAAGAGGAGTGAGCGACATACAGAGACTGTCAAAGCTCAATTCAGATCCAGAGGTTTTAACTAGGCCAAATCCAGCAGATTCTATTTACTCTAGGAATATCAAGGGTAGTAAAGTTCACAAGAGATTGATTGAACAATTTTGTACAATAACACTCTAATGAGATCATTTTCAGATGAAATTGAGTCAATAATAAATGGCTGAGGGAAAGAGGAGGGCTGCTGTAGCTCCTCAGATAATATGCAGAGGCTTGAGAGACAGTTAAGGGGCGGCAATAAGAGGCTGGTGAAAGCAGCATTTTGGGAGAAAACACAGCAAATTAGAAGCAAAGGGAGCACATTTCAGTGCACAGGCAGTTCATTTTTCACATCAGTGTCTACTTTTGTTCCCGGCAAGCTGCCAAAGACATTGATGTAGGCACTATCCCTCCTCCACAGCGGTAATTATGCTGCTGGCCAATGCTTGATTAAAAGATCTAATCTGCAAACTTAGTGTTCAACATCTCCCAACAAGTTCCAATGCTTTAAGCCTGCTCTCTGTGCCTGTGACGGCACCGGAATCCAAAATGTTTTGTCATGGACAGCAGCCAATGAAGTGCAGGGGAACATCCTTTTGCTTTCTATTCTGTGTCGGGGTGAAGGTGTAATTGCACCAGCAGATGTATTATTCAAGAGGAAAGCATGGCATGGGTGGATATAGCCTTAACCTGAGTGAAATTATAAAAGCTTTGAAGGCAGGAGTCAGGCCTTCTCCCGTCTGCCCCGGGAATTGAAACAAGCAAACTGCTTTTTCACCTGAAGCTCAATTCTGGCTTCACAAAATTCTTATTCCACAAGGCTGCAAAGAGCCTGCATCAGAATAAAGGAAACCATGGGTTTAGTTTAACAAAAAGGTTATATATTATTGTGAGAATATAGTGACTATGTAATATTACAGGCTCCTAATAATATTATAGTGCAACAATACAAAATAAATATTGTGTCATGTCCAGTATTGTCACTGTACACTAGCTGTTCAATATCATACACTCACTACAGGAATATTATTATAGAAATACCAAATCTTATTACAAATATGCCATGAGGTGCAACAAGGTCACCATAAATTGACTGGTGGTGAGCACAGACACATTACAAGTCCCTGCAGGGAGGTTTTATTGGACATTATAGGCATTTTTCCTCCGGATCACAGGATCTGACCACACCATGTGCAGCTGCATCCCAATAAGAAGCCCTCAGAGACAATGGTGCTGCTGACAAAGTGATAAACAAGCTCGAAGTGTCCTTACCCTCTCTGAGCAGATGGGAGTAGATGAGCCAGAGAAGCAGCAGGCAGCAGAGTGACGCACCTCCACCTGCGGAGAGCGTCTTCACTCCAGACTGCATCCTGCACCTTCAGCCTTTTAGATTATCCAAACTTTGAACGTTCGTGCCGCTCAGATGTCAAGCAGATCTGCGGGAGAGTGGCTAATCCAGTGGCGTCTCCACAGCCTGTCGTCGGCATCCATTTTGAGGTTATAATAGGAAAGGGACTGATAGTAATCCCCCCTTGCCTTTCAAATTCCCTCGGTGAGCCGCATATCCATCCAGGCTGCTCAGCGCACACACACACACATGCACACACACACACACACGCACACACACGCAGACAGAGGGTACAATGTCACCAGATCTGGCCAAGTTTACGCAGCTGTGGTTTCAGGAGCTGAAATTCACTGGCAGGCTTCTGCAAAAACTGTTAGTATGTAGATGAAGAGGAGTGAGCAGCCGCTAGTCCCATCACACGGAGATGCTGATGATGCTGGTAGTAAATTCTGCCGCTCAACATCCCCCTGAACGCCGCTGTCACCTCTTCTTTTTTCCTCCTCTGCGCTCCGCACTGTTGTTATTATTATTCCCAACCAACTTCTGCACCGAGCGCGGCTCTGTGTGACTCTACAGAGAAACGCGCAAGTTAACCCAGGCGGACATGACGAACATACCAATCAGAACGGGAAAACTTGTCCGAAAAAAAGCAACACTCCAGCGTCCAGACCCCGGCTTTGGAAAAAAACAGCTGAAGGCGCAAATGCGTCATATGTGGACACATATGCGCTGCAGCTCAAGCGAAATGTCACGTCAAAACAAGAGCGGCGGGTCTCACGCAGCGCACCGCCGCTGGACAAAACGCACTCCGAGCGCGTCAATGCGGGCGGTGCGGCGAAGTTGGACACACTTGTCACCTGTATGAGCCTTTGTGGAGGCTCTGGGAAATTCGTCAGCGGTGGTGCCTCGAGGAAAAAGCTCCCCCTCCTCGCAAAGTCAAGTGTTGGTTACAGATGAGTGTGTTAACCCAGCCTTATTCTGTCCCGCTCGGCTCCATTTGCATGCAGGCGACGCCGGAGAAGAGGATTTCCTCCCTTCAATCCATGGAAAGAAACGCTGCTGCTGCTCCCGCCGCTGCTGCTGCTGCTGCACCCTGAGTTGCCTTGAGTTACAATGTTTCCATCTGCTCTCTCTCTCTTTCTCTCTCCCTCTCTTTCTCCCACACACACTCTCTCACATACACATATACATACACACAGTGCCCCAATTCCTCCTGCAAAGTGAGTAAAAAACTTTGAGCTCCCAGGCCATAAATCCCAAACTGTAGATGATGATGATGCTTATTTATACACAGTAACATGTCCCATCTCAGTCCACAGGGAGACACAAAGCAGCCCCAGCCTCCCCCACATTCTGACATGTTACTTTTCTCCATTTTTTTAATGCCCTCTTTCATAGGTAGAAAACGCCCTTGAGGGCTGCATGGTCTGAGGACTACGGTTAACATTTAGCGCACTGGCATTCTGGGAAAATGTGAGGTCCATTCCTTCACAGAACTGGTGGTAAAACATGTGTTGTGCCTTGGAGCTCTTTAGAGCAGAAGTTACATTTTTATATACTGCCTAATATCATATAGAGTCTCAAGTGTGCATGCACACACAGTGGTGCATGCTTCCTCCAGTGTGTGTGTGTGTGTGTGTGTGTGTGAGAGGCAAAGGCTTACAGATGCTAGTCTATCTTCTGAAAGAGCACCATTTAAGTCTCCCTTGCCACTTGAGGACCATTACTATAACTCAACCCCCCCTCACACACACATACACTAAATTCCATGACCAGTGAATGTGCACTTTATTAGCAGATGGAGAAGTTCCCCCTGTGCGCTGCTGTGCTATCAGCCTTTCACTGAATGGCTTTTATGATGACGTATTGGCCCGGGCCGAGGCCTGTCACATCATCACTGTAATATATGAAAAATGACTGGGCCTCACACTGCACAGACTGTGCATTTGTTGAGGATTAAAGAGATACTTTGCCAATTTTCCACCCTATGGCCTAAGACCTGCTGATCTCTACTGCATTACTGTAACCAGCTGCAGCAGCTTCCTCTACCTGGGCGATGGCGGCAGAACTACAGAGAGAATTCGGCTGCTGAGACTTGTTTTCTCCTCTCGTCTGCAGCCTGGCTCAGCCGGCTATAGTCGAGAACCATGTTTCAGTCAGTCACAGTGATGTCCCAGCAGGGGGTTGCAGTGTAATTAATCATAATCCATCACTGTGAGTGACAGGGTTGTAAAAATTCTGCTAGTTTATTTTTTACCCATCATATTTATTTTCATGTTTACCAATAATATACAGACTTGTTTGTAATTGCATTTGGGCATGTGTGGATTGTAATAATAGTAATGGCAGTGTGTGCACTTTAAAAGGGCTGTGCTCAACATTTAATTTTGTTATTATGTTATACTGTTAATTGTCAGCCATCTTTGCCACTGTTAGTGTTTATGGAAGTGGTGGAAAGTAAATAAGTGGGCTATATTTGCTCAAGTAATTAATTATAATTAGGCTGTTGGGTACATAATTTGAGTAGCCTATTTCCATTTTATACTACGCTACTTTATTCTTCTTGGTACATTTATCTGACAGTTTTAGTTAACAGAATGCCAAGATCAATTTGTAAAATAGCACGGCTATAGATTCAACTATGCAAAAGTATTAAATATTTAAAAGTAGAAATCCAGCAATATAATAAATGACTTTAATGGTACAGTGTGTAGGATTTAGGGGTATCTGTTGGAAGAAATGGTATGTGATATTCATAACTATGTTTTCATTAGTTTATAATCACCTGAGATCAGAGTCACTGTGCTTTTGTTACTTTTAAAAGAGTCATTTTTACTGCATAAACTTCTGTACTTCTACTTAAAGTAGCTACAGTCAATTTTATATTAACATTGTATCTCATAATGAACCCACAGATTTGCAGAATGGATCTGGTTAGCATTAATTAGCTGATAGAAAAACAGACATTATTCTGAGGTACTGGTGGAGACCAAAACAGCCATAAGGAGAGTGAATATCGGATTACACTGATCAGGTGAAAACATGACCCAAAACTAATAATGTTGCTCTGGAACTGTTGGATATGTAATAAACAACTGTATGGAATATTTTTACACTGATGTGTGGCTGTTCTACCTAAAGCTGGGGTAGGAAGTTTTATTTTGGCTTCATTGAGCAAAAATTCCACACAAACCTTTGAGCATATTGTAATTCAATTGGACTGAGAAAAAGCTAGACTTCTACATCTCCTTCTGGCCAAAGAGGTTACAATAACAAGAGAGATGATACTATTTTCTTTTTGCACAACAGCTACAAGAGGACACGCATAGTGTGGTCGCAATGCTGCTCCAATCAAAATCAAAGTAAAAGCATATAGCATCGATGATGTCACAAGCTGTTTCCTTCAATTAATGGCTCAAATTATAAGAGTAAGAATCCAGAGCTGACCTTCCATAGGTTTCCCAGCAATCCCAACGCTAATTACTAACAAAAAGATGGAATACAGGCTACATATATTTCACCAAAGTCCTTCAATAAACTATAGGCTTTAATGTAAACTTCGCCATCAGTTTGTATTGAAATAATCATCTCCAGCTCCGATCTCTTCAAACCATAAAATGGACTGCATTACAAAATAAAATAGCCTATCAAAACTTTGATTGAACAGTATGAATTATATGTATCTTTTGCACCTATAAAATACCATGAGAGCTTGGTGATTTTTAGTAAACAAAATTTAATCAAATCCATCTATAAGATCATAGGCGTCATTTAGGTATGGCGAGGTACGGCAGCTGCCATACCTTGGAATCGCGAGAAAAAAAAAGAGAGAGGTTCTGTAGTCATCTTACTCGAGGCGCACTGGGTGGTTGTTTTCATTGTATTGCACTTAAATAGGTTAATAATATGCTCATCAGTGATTACGAGTGTTAGTGAATACGAGTGTTATTGAATCAAATTGTTCGCCACTTCGCTCCTCCGCGAGTTATGAGTTATGTGAGTTACAGTATATTTCCAAATAGTCGGGCACCTAATAGCCGCTGGGGGTTTTACCCCATTTTGCGTATTAAACGCCGGTCCGATTAAACGCCCGGGCGATTATTTCCTCATTCATTGCCTCATGGCTGTCCCTCCTTCAGGGACTGTTTGCGCTTTTAGGCATGGGTCGGTGGTGATCGCCTTGACCCGCGTGCGTAAAAGCGCACACAATTCCGTGTCCTCTCACCGCAGATGATGTGATTTGATGGCCGGTACTCATTGTAGCTCACTCTTATAAGACCCAATGATAATAACAATAATAATAATAATAATAATAATAATAAGTTACTGTGGATCTATATGCCATGCCTTTTAATAAAATTACCAGAAGAGTTCGTTGAAAAACAGGTAATGTCAGCCTGAATTACTCACGTGCGTCCCCGGTGAAAATCGCCGACATGCATGGGGAATACAGCTTCTACAGGCTCGCCATAGCTTACTGTCAGGACTCAGGGACCAGAATTCGGGATGGCAGACTGTCGGGATGGCGATATTTCAGTGTGGCGGCCTGTAACTGTTGGTTAAATGGCCCGTAAAGTTGGTAATAAGATAAATGGGGGTTTACTGGTATAATGCAATAGCACCACCCAGCGGTGAAACCCGTGTACACGAAAAAAATGACCCACTCTAAATGCTTAGAGATTTTTGTACATGAACTCACCCCTACATTATACAGTATTTTTGCACTAAAAAACATACTGGACAGGAACTGTAACCAAATAACGGCCTGGTGCAGGTCGGTGCAAAAAAAAAAAAAAAACCTTTGAGAATAGCCCCTGGTTTTTTTAAATGCCTGGGTCAAAATCGATTTTGTGAAATAAACCAGGGGCTACTATTTGGAAAAATACGGTATCTATGTGTTGTAAAAGCATTTTGCTCTGCTGCTGTAGACAGCCTGTCTAAATGATGTCTTGAAGCCTGTCTGATTGTATGTGGGTGTTTTTTCTTCATGTCGGCATGTTAAGCTTGTATTTTCGGTCTCTGGAGACACTCCAATAAATTCGCCTATACAGTATTGTACCAAATTGGCCTTTACTGTGTTTCATACACCGGACCCCTTTGTTATCTAATAATAATAATTTAGCATGGAAAGGGAGCGGAGAACAACTTCACTTACTGATCTCAAAACCAAAAGAACAACAGAAAAATTCTGAAAATCAGCCACCAGTAGTTCAGTTTTAAGCATTGAGTATGAATTCATGTAACACCCTTATCTCCCTTATCTTTTAATGGTCTTTTTATTTCTATGTGATGACTCTAACAGGTGTAAATTATCACTGTATATGTTCATGAATCTCTCTGGTGATAGTTTTTTATGACTTAATTTCTTTCACTCTCTCTTTTTTGTAGTTTGAAATGAATACATTTATTTCTGATTTTTTTTAATTTTTAATTTTTTTTTTTTTTTACAAAATATTCCTGGCTATGAATAAAGCAGGATTGGTTTACAAGGTATTGTTGAATTGATTGCAAAGACAGAGCAGTATGTAACTAGTGTGGTTACAAGCAGTTAAAGAAAGAGAAGGGAAAACCTTTAGATTAAATGACAACCATGGTCGTTGTTTACCAGCAGTTTTAAACAGATTAATCCCCTCTCATAAGTAGAGGCAGCATATTTTACATATTATTAATCAGCCCAAAATGGTGGCCATTCAGCTCTGAGTATGACACAAGGTAGTGTTGTCTCTTATCACTAGAACCCTGTGTCTCTGCCCTGTTTGCGGGCTTTAGAAGATCTAGTCTGTGACAGGAGACTTTGGCCAATCACAGGTCATTTCAAAGAGGAGGCGTTCCTATTGGCTGTTCTACAGTTTCAGATGCACACGCACATCCCTGTAGTGAAAATCCTGATACGATGGTGGAAAATTCTGTAGAGAAAGTTGGTATTCCAGCATTGGCAACAACTGCCTATACTACAAAGCAGCCTAAAAAGGAAGACTTGACTTATCAAAAAAAGTCTTATACCCAATAAAACATGTCAATATGAGCAATGTTTCGCGGATGGAGAGATACAGTTGCTAATACAGTAGTTTAGCCTTCTGCTAACTGGAG